TTACGTACCACTGCATAAATGTACCATTTTTGGAGGTTACGTACCACTATAGAAATATATAATAAAGTGATAATAAGGGATAAGGTGTGAGTGGGTTTTTTTTTTTCTGGATGCAGGCCTCGACATTAGCGGTGGTCCATTGGTCCGAGACCACCTGATTTTTTCAAGGACCACCTAATTTTACAGGCAACTGGTCCGTTAGACCACTTGAATTTTCCAAATGGTGCAGGGCTCATCTAGGAGAATGGTTATTTGGTCGAAAAACGTGTTCAATAATTGTCATTTTAAACCATTTCTCCGATGTACAGGTATATGTTCATTCATCTCATAAGTTCAAAAAGATCTTAAGACATCCATAACATTTTATTAACTCGCTAACAGTGTAGTTAAAAAAGTAGAATATTATTTTAATAATTAAAGTATAAAATTCATTCAAATGTCTCTTGTACTGCATTGAATTTATAACATTGTATCACTATGGGATATCGGATAAACACATGAATAATGGTGCAAACAAAGGCAAAGGAAAAATTAAATATCTAGTAATCTTTGGCTACTTTTTTAAACGATCAGAGATCCATTTTTAGCTCACCTTGCACAAAGTGCAGGTGAGCTTTTAGGATGGCCAACCAAATGGCGTCCGTCGTCCGTCCACATTTTAAATATTCTAAGGACATCTTCTATGATACCGCAAGGCCAATGTTAATGAAACTTGGCATGAATACTCTTTGTATGAAGCTCTTAATTAAGATTGTTCAAAGAATTTCATTTCATGCAAAACTCTGGTTGCCATGGCAGCCGAAAGAAAAATCTTTAAATATCTTCTTTTAAAGAACCGTAAGAGCTAGAGCTTAGATATTTGGCATGAAACATCTTCTAGTGAATGTCTACCAAGTTTGTTCAAATAAAAGCACTGGGGTCAAAATTGGCCCCGCCCCAGGGGGTCATTGATTTTCCCTATATGCATATAGTAAAAACTTAAAAAATCTTCTTTTAAAGAACCCAAAGAGCTAGAGCTAAGATATTTGACATGAAATATCTTCTAGTGAGTGTCTACCAAGTTTGTTCAAATAAAAGCCCTGGGGTCAAAATTGGCCCCGCCCCGGGGGGTCATTGATTTTCCCTATATGCATATAGTAAAAACTTAAAAAATCTTCTTTTAAAGAACCGTAAGAGCAAGAGCTAAGATATTTAGCATGAAACATCTTCTAATGAGTGTCTACCAAATTTGTTCAAATAAAAGCCCTGAGGTCAAAATTGGCCCTGCCCCAGGGGGTCATAGATTTTCCCTATATGCATATAGTAAAAACTTAAAAAATCTTCTTTTAAAGAACCAAAAGAGTTAGAGCTAAGATATTTAGCATGAAACATGTTCTAATGGTTGTCTACCAAGTTTGTTCAGATAAAAGCCCTAGGATCAAAATTGGCCCCGCCCCGGGGGGTCATTGATTTTCCCTATATGCATTTAGTAAAAACTTAAAAAATCTTCTTTTAAAGAACTCAAAGAGCTAGAGCTAAGATATTTAGCATGAAACATGTTCTAATGGGTGTTTACCAAGTTTGTTCAAATAAAAGCCCTGGGGTCAAAATTGGCCCCGCCCCGGGGGTCATTGAATTTCCCTATATGCATATAGTAATAAATAAAAAAGTTATAAGTTATAATTATGCGAATTTCGTTCTGTAAAAGTCATATCCGTAGCGGACAGAAGTTACCGAAAATGACTAATATTTATTGATTTTTTATGAATTTTTCTTGATACGATGGTTTATAATAAATTTTAAATGATTTTACATGCAAAATATCGTTAATTTGGTCTGGTATTTAAAGTCATACCCCTTCCGAAAGAAACCTCGATAAAAGTAGTTCTTAATTTTGCACTTTTGTCACATTTACATCACTTCTTATTAAAATATTGTTTGCATAGTTGTCAAAAGGTAACTATGCATTTTAAGTTTAAAGAAACATCTCTAAACATGAAAGCATAAAATATGAAAATTACCAGTTCATTGATAAAAGCACCTACGCCTCAAACGTCATATCCATGCATGCGCGTGATAGAATGAATGAATTACAGGGCACTAGGACTTTAAAACATGGAGTCCATGGACTCCCAACCCTGAAAAAGTTGGAGTCCAAAAGCGCGTCACAATTAATGTTTACAGATAAGTCATTCAATGCTCACAATAGCATTACTGATATTTCAAATCTTCAAGAGACTTCTGGCGTTTATAGTTATTCAACTACATATTATAATTATTGTTTTGATGTTAATATTTATTATGAAATTATTTCATTATAATGCATCAACACATGGAAATCGTTTTTTTGTTTTTGTTTTTTTTTCTCACTTTTATACCAAATCAAATTTTATTCTGGTTAAATAAGTCCACTCTAAAGACAAAAAGTTTATATTTGTAAAAAAAGAAACGTAAATGTATATAGGCTGCGTTTAGCGGAATGAATAGGAAAATCTTGTACAGCATCACACAGTGTGTAAGAGATTCATCCAATCAACAGTTATTTTAGCAAATATCTTCAAAAGGGGGCAAATTGAAGATCAATATTTAAAGATTTAATGTTGATTAATTAATAAAGGAACAATTCATTCATATGTTTGGCTTGAAAACTGAGAATTTTTGTGAAATTTTAGGGTTTCTGGCGAACGTGAAATCGCGGATGTTCGGGAAGAATCTAAATATCAAAGAAAAGCTTATGTGTATTTTGGTTTGTTGTTCTGGCATTTCGGCACAATATCTTAAATTCTTAATACTCTTATGGAACGTTTTAGCAAGAATGAAACTAAAGCAAAATTGTGCCTAGAAAATGCCGAAAATATTCGACAATCATTCAAAATTACACTCATTTGTAATTTGAGGAAACAGTCTTTAAACTTGCTGCGTAAGTAGTCGATAGTTATTAGTTTTATCCTTTTGTCGGTAAAATTTGCTTATTTCCAATCAACTGTTGATCAAAGATATAAAATTATCACCTCGTGTTATATCTGGTAATTACATGTACAGCGATTGTATACATAAGTCTGATCAATGATCGGAAGCGTTATTGCTGATTGGCTAATCGCTTCACGGGTAGATGTGCATAGGACCGCCTACCTATAGACTGACACGCGCTGACGTAATTGTGTATATGTGGTTGTAAACAATCGGTAATGTTTATGCGTCCCCAGGCAAAATTAAGCGTACGTGGAATCCTTGCTCTGAAATATTTGCGTCCAGCTGTAATAAACATGGCGTACCGGGACGCCGAAATAAGCGTCCCCGAGAACCCTGAATTATGGCATAAAAAAAGTTGTCAGACTCTTTATAAAAATATGTCCAACATCCAAAATAAATATAAATCAAACAAGTTAACCTTATTTACACTTGAAGTTACACTTGCATATTGTTTTTCTATTTCAAACTGTTTTACAAAACGAGCATATATATACAGTATAATTTATATGGAGCTCCGTAACAAAAATGTAGGTAGTATCACAGCTTTCATTGTAAATGTAAAACAATATATCTACGTGTTAAAACAATTGAATACATTTAATTTATGTGCAGAAAAATGCTTATCTGTAAATGCATATAATTATGCAGACCGTCACTTCCAATTCTACATGTATTCTTATTAACACATTGATATTTAAATGTCTCGGCATGTAAGGGACTCGAACACCTAGCTGACTCTCGGAATACCGTTCTTCCAACTGAGCTATCTGGCCGGTTACACATAATAATCTCCCCTAAATAGTAAACAGTTTTATTCATGCATGTACATACCTTTGGACAGAAAATAATATGCGGTGGCAGATTTGTGCCATGGCATTTATTTGTTTCGTAAGGCAAAAACACAGAAATACAACAAATTAACCACTTTGTCATACTTCCCTGTTTTCACCTGACACCCAGCTAACATTTTAGTATTTTGCCTGGAGGGTTGGCTCTTTCCACAACCTAAAGGTTTAAATCGGTGCGCCTCCATTAAAAACAATAAGACAGGAGATGTCCTTTACATATTAGAACTTATAAAATATGAATTCAGTATATGATATTTTTTAGACCTTATATTTTTCTAGACCTTCTCTTCCCCTTTATTTAAGGACCTGTAATGAAATTGTAGTTAAGATTTCTGTTTGCTGCCCAGTAAAATTCCATCATGGGCCCTGTCACCACCAGAAATGTTCACCAATTTAACTTCAATACTGCACAAGTTCAGAAATATATTTTGAAATATACTTTGCTGTCCCAAAGGTAGACAATTATTGATAATCAATTCACTCAGTAAGGCTGAGCCACCCTTTATAATTTTTCCATAACTCTTTAGACAATAATATAGGTAAAATTATTAGCCATATATGAGCTTATGATTGCATGGGCAGCCAAATAAGCCTTAAGTAAAAAAAGAGTTGACCTGGGATAACCCCAGTGAAGAGTGAAATATGACACTCTGAACACCTACAGGTGCATTTTAAGTTTGGTGTTTATGATCAGTTTTAGCATAAATAGTAATTTAATTTCCCCTGAAACCACAAAAATTTATTTATTTAGAGTCCTGAAATCTGTCAAACCAGGTTTAAATGAATAATTATAAAATTCCTAGCCACAACAACTAGAAAAACAAAGTTTAAGGTATATAAATCTAGTGAAAAAATAATATTTCTATCCATATTCATCATTTCTGGACCTTCATCCATCTGATGAATTTATTCAACTGGTAACTTTTCATCTTATTCTGTTCTATTTGTTAATATAATTTTTGAAATATTTCTTATGTTTATATACAGCTACAGAAAGATGAAAAAAGTATTCATTAATATGGGAGATAACGTCATAACGTTATTACCGAGAGATTACTTTCCCTTGCACCATAACGATTTTAAATGACCTTGGTTGTTTATTGTGTAGTCTATTTATAGATAAATTATTGGAAAAACATGCTGACATAAAATTATGCTAGAAAAACGTCACTGAATGTTTACTTCTGCGCTTATTTTGAAATGGGTAGAAAAGGTTCAGAAATGACCATTGATGTAAAAAATATTGCTGTTTGTATGTATAATGATGGAATGTTAATAGCGGAAATTTCGAGAACTTTACAGAAACCTCACAGTACCATTTCATCTATTTTAAAAAAATTCAAATCATCAGGATCAGTGGAAAATTTACAAAGATCAGGCCGACCTCGATCAGTGACAGACAGAGATTATCGCCATCTTGACAGGACTGTGAAGTGCAATCGTCGGGCTTCATTAGCAGACATAAAGAGTAAATTTAATGATTGGAGAGCAGCGCCAGTTTGTAAGAGAACTGTTCAAAATCATTTACATAAACATGGATTTTCTAAAAGAGTGAGTAAGAAAAGAGTTATTGTGTCAAAGGTGAATAGAGCAAAGCGCCTTTCTTTGTGTAGAGAGAAAAGAAGGTCTAAAGTAGTAGGTGAATGGGATCGTGTGATATTTTCTGATGAAAGTCAAGTTGTAATAGGCAGTTGACAAAGAGTTTTGATATGGAGGAAGCGTGACGAAGGGTATAGACCTGATTTATTGACTCCCGAAATCTTCTAATAACAAGAAGGTTATCAAAGTGATGATATGGGGGTGTGTCACTTGGCATGGTGTTGGTACTCTAGCGAAAGTCAGTGGTAACATTAATGCTCAAAAATACGAGGAAATTTTAGAAGAAAATCTTTGGCCAGTTATTGCTCGTCATTCCCCGATAACTCCTACACTTTTCAGGACGACAACACACCTGTTCATCGTGCACCGCAGTGTCAATCTTTATAAGACCAGAAACGGTATAAAATCCATGTTTGGCCAGCACAATCACCTGATTTAAACATAATTGAAAAATCTGGTTGTACATTAAACGGAAACTTTCAAACAGTACAGTTATCATTAACAGTGAGCAGATATTATTTGACGAAATTTTTCGGATCTGGCAAGAGATTACACCCGCCTATGTTCAGAGCCTGTACAAGTCTATACCACGGAGAATTATGCAGGTTATAAGGTTCAAAGGGCATTTAACTAAGGATTAAGGTTAGTAAACCGAGTTTAAAAGTTAGTTTACTCGTTCAGTTAATGTTAAAATCAAGTTTGAAGTTATGTATGTAAAAGACAGAAAATCCAATATGGCCGCCAAATCACGAATACTTTTTTCATCTTTCTGTAGAATAGTCTGTAATGACTAAGATAGACAGGTAAGAACAAACTATTTAGTAAACATGAGTTACATCCCTTCAAATGGAGAAAAAATGAAACCCCAAAGAAACTGCCATGTCTGACAGACAGCAAAATTATAAAATGCTGCAGGCTCAATTTGATTAGGCCCATTACGAGGAAGTGGTTATAATTGTGGTCAAAAATTAAATGATATCATTTTCAAGGGATGTTTCTGATAAGAATAACTAATTGAACTTGGTTATTATCAATTAATGTTTCTTTGACTTTTATGCCCATGTACATGTATGTGACATATGATATATTAATGACATTGCCCCTGGGGTCATATATTAAGGTTTTCCTTATATGTATATAGTAAAAACTTTTAAAAAAATTGTCTTTCCAAAAAGCTTATGCTTAGAGCTTAAGATACTTGGTATATAATATCATCAGTACGTCCTCTACCAAAGTTGTTCAAATGTTGCCCCTTAGAGTGAATTGGCACCAGGGTGTCATAGGTTTTCCTTAAATGTATATACATGTATAGAAAAACTTAAAAAATCTTCTCTAGATTGACAAAGACTAGAGGTATGATATTTGGCATGAAATATTGTGTAGTAGACCTCTACTAAGATTGTTAAAATTACAGCCCAGTGTGATAAAATTTGCCTCATGCAACACCAGGCTATCTGATTTGTATGAGGGGGCGTAGCCCCCGTCTATAAATCAGATTGCAGAGTGTTTTGATGTTCTTTCTCTTTTGTTTCATAGTCAAACATAAAAACACGTTGCAGAGTGTTTTGATGTTCCTTATCTTTTGTATCATAGTCAAACATAAAAACGTGTTCCCTGATACCACAATGATGAAACCCCTCAAAAAGTAACCAATAAACGAGCATCTGAATATGACATTTGCATCGCTATCCCTTTCTCTGTCGTCACAATATGTAAACCCCGGACAAAATGAACCAATCAATAGGCATGCTCTGGAGTGCGGGTAACTAATACCTGCACTCCAGTTAACGCACTGTGCATACAACTGTATATGTATACGATTTAACTCAACAGAAAGGTCCCCAAACTATGATACAAGATAGTTAAACATCATTTCAAAGCCTTATAAGTATGGAAACTGTATATATTACATGTTAACCCCAGTTATTCTTATTTTCCAGATTAAAATTGTCATTCAACAATGTGATGATGTTAACTCAGTAAGACAAAGTAAACAATGGCTTCATATAGCCCAAAACTTTCAGATAAGAAATACAATAACTGGGTTAAAGCTCAGTTAGCAGCGTTGTTTACTAAAGAAGGACTTGAACCTTTTGTATGTCATGAAGTTCAAGAATTCCAGTTGAAATGTTTAGATGATATTTGCTACAACAATGGATTGATTAGTGGAACTTTGTGTTCAAATTGCTGTACGGAAAATGTTATTAAATGTCCAACAAATAGAATATGTAATGTTGGACGTGGAAAATGCAGTTATCATCGAAATGCTGCAACAAGGTATAATCCTGCCGGCTGCCCTAACAAGATATGTCATAATTTTACAACTGAGATACAGAACGCGCATAGGTACGCTGGTCCATCGTACAAAAACACTGATGCTACCCAGTGGTGCAGTAATTTCTGGGAAGTGGCGAAATGTTTCATGCCTCCAGATGGGTTTAAAGATAAAGCATCTGCAACAGAAACAGACTTCAATGGTATAATCAGCGTTATTCTCAATTACAAAGACTTCCAGATGAAAATACATGAAAACCTTAATAATAAGACGAATATGTTTGAGGAGGTAATCAATATTTAGATACTATTTATGCAGGCTTACATTTGGTCCTTAGTTACTAAAGACGACAATTATATATTTCAGTGACCGTATGATAATTTATATACATTGTATAATACACTTAGATTTTTGCCATGCTGTCTGAAAATAAAGCAAACTGTTACATTGGGGATTGTCGATAAGAAGGATTTGTAGGCTAGCATAAAGAATTTTTTATATATACAGAACACTCCTCAAGCAAACCACTCCACTAGCAAACCACTCCCCTAGCAGACCACTCCCCTAGCAGACCATTACCCTAGCAGACCACTCCCCTAGCTATGACATAATAGCTCAACACAGCTCTAATCTTGTTTGTAATTCTTTATTTATGTATTGTAATTCTTTATTTATGTTTAAACATGTGTTACTAAGTATTTTTTACTACATGTATAACGTAACAGTTTTTCAATTATAAGTAAATTTTATAATTAACTGATTGGTTTCAGGTAAAAGTAAATAAGAAATGTGATTTATTTTTGACTAGGCAAGAGAAATTGAAAGAAATGTGCGACATTCACCAACACTTGAAGTAGAGGATTCAGATCTTCAGAAATACTACATATTACTAATATTACAGAAACTACTTTCTGATCCAGTATATTTAGGTAGCGACACGCTAGCGCAGAATGCTAAAAAGAAGCTGATAGAGGTAAACTACTGCTACTACTACTACTACTTCTAACAATAATGATAAAAATAGATAATAATAATAATAATAATTAAAAAATAATCAAAATGGTTTAAATGATTAAATAGTAATCACATTTTAACCTTTTTTTTAATACACATGCTGAAAATTCATACAATTTATTTTATTTTTAACAATTATAAAACACACATACTTTATTCAGTGTATTATTTCGATCTGCAACTAACAAAGTCAAAACTAATAAAGTCAAAACTAGGACAGACACCCATTACTAGAAAACATTTGTAGTAGAAAATAATAATAATAAAAATAAAAGTAAGAATAAAACGATCATATTATGTACATATAATACATATGAACCGTGCTAAACTTGATCGAATGATTATTAATACGCTTAACAATTTCATCAAATAGCTAGTATATTTCGAATGATTTTAAATTAGTGTAATGTAAAAGAGTATAAGTCAAATTAAATACTTTTTTTTATTTTTGAACAAATCATGGTGTTTCCCTTATCGAATAATACTGTTTCTATGAAGTTATGCTCGATTCTCAGAAGTATTGCAACATAGAATGCTACTTACTGAACATGACTATTACACACAAACAAAATAAACTATTGCGGAACAAATTTTAAAATAGTTTGTTCTTGTTAAATGTGAACCGTTTTGCAATGGCTCAAAGTAAATAAACAAACATGTTTTTATTCACCCGAAGGGAGGCATAATATAATCGCACAGTCTGTCTGTCTGTCTGTCTGTTCAGGAATCACGTCCCTTCTTCAAAGGTAAAGGTCATAGTTCATGCTATCACAATTAGAGATTACAGGTACAATAAAAAACAACAATATTCAGCAATAAGTTACTTTCATTCTTTTTTCTTTTCACAAAACCTTCATGCTTAAGAAACCTTTTCGGGGGCATTCGTCACTTCGGTGAGAGCTCTTGTTTCATAAATGTATTTTAGAAGTACATTTGTGGATACACTTTTGTACAATATTTCTTTAAAATGTATACTTTATAAATAATTGATAGTATTTTTTACTATTTATAATCTTAATTATTTATTCATTTTCTTATTGATTATTTTTATTCATTTTTTGATATTGTATATTTTATTGTACCAATGTATTTATAATTACAGTTAGAAAATGACACTCTAACCCTTGGTAAAAATGATTTAAAGCAAGTACTAGACGATGTGGCAAAAGCAATACAGGACAAGATGAAGGCTGGATTAGATGAGCAATACGACAGAATTAAACTAGATATGATAAAAAGAAAACAAGAAGATCTTCAGTCTCTTCACTCACAAATCGACGAAGAATTGACACAATTAAAGGATAAAAGTGATGCTTCCGTTAAAAGACTGAATGAAGAACGGGACAAAGCAGGTGTGAAAATTCATAAACAAGAAGATAAAATACAAACAGACCTGGCTGAATTAGGAGAGACGTTACACAAAAAACTGAAAACAACAAATGAAGACGAGAAAGAAAAGGAAAATACTGATTCTAAACAAAGTAAGAGATATAATGTTTAATCACATGACTTCATTTGTTTAAATAATGTTCTAATATCATCAATTCATTATTTGATCCAATCCTATTATTTTCATGTTTATTTCCTGAGCCCAGAAGTCTGTATTAAATGCATATTGAACGCCATCTAGCCTCGCTTTTATTCCCCGAAAAAAGTATAATCCAATTCAAATACATCTTATATACTTCTAGCATCGTTGTCACTTTCTTTGTCAACAACGTCCATATCAAATTCATATTGTACTCGAGGTGACTATATCGTTATAGACATTTTTGTGCGCCCACTTTGCGGGGGGATTTAGATTTACCCTTGTCCGTTCATTCTCATTTGTAGCTGAGAAAATATTTGACCTATAGTCCTTTTAATTTCTTAAATCTCGCTCCGCGCCCCCGCGGGACGAAGTTTTATTTATTTAACTTCGCCCAATGTCATTGCTAATTAGTGTGTTATCAGTCTGCGCCCGCCATTTTAACTTGTTAATTTTCAACTTTTCGCTTGGTCACGGGGCGAAAACAGGAATGGCACAAATCAGCCACCATAGTTTACAATTATTTTGGTAATACTTATGTCTATAACTGAGTGCTTTTTAATTAGTAAACTTGTTTTGAAAACATTGTTACTGACATGAATCCAGGCCGCCCGGCAGGGGGGGGGGGAGTGCGTGGGGGCGGGTGGACATTTGTGTTTACCGAACATAACTTGTTTCTTGTTGTTTATTTATTTTATTTTTTTTAATTTATTTTTTTTATTTATTTATTTTTTTGCTTTGTTGTTTGTTGTTGTTATTTTAATCTCAGCCAACAACGAGTAAAATTTTATTTTTCAATAATTAATGTTGGATTTTAATCACTGAAAGGGAAGTTGTTTTATATTATATACTATATATACTATATACACAACAGCATCTTAACTTTACTACTTTGATAATGCAATCCTTCATAAGAAAATTACAATCAGTAAATAATTACACCATTTAATTGAAATCAGGCTCCAGACAATACACTTTTTCGTATCAACAATTAAATAAATACCCATCTTCCTTTTTAATGCAACCACCACCCTTAATAATATGTCAAAATTGATTTGGTGCCCCTAAGGGTGCTCTTTGGGTCAAAATATTATAATCAGTTGCTTTGTTTCATGACTGTTTGCTTCCATGTGCATGTATTCTGATATTTTTAAACAAAATTTCAAAAGGCATGTTCTTACTAGTTTTCATTTAAAACATTGCCCAGTCAACAGCTGTTAGACAGGTAAAAATGAACCACATGTTTGTTGTATGTTTGGTTCACCATATGTTTTCCATATGTATAACATATGTGTTTCATGTGTTTTGAAAAACATGTGTTTAAGAACATATGTTTTTCATATGTAAGATTAACATATGTTAAACAGGACCATAGGTAAAACATGTGTCAACAAACATGTGTTAAACTCATGGTTATCACATGTTTTTCATATGAATAAGTTTTCATATGTTAAATATATGTGACCTTTCATGTGTTTTTCATATGATAAATTTATGATACTGCAAGATTTACACTTTTAACAGTCTAAATAGATTCCACATAATTGCACATAAATTCTTTAAATATTCTTGGTTCATGCATCTATGTGCAACTTATTGTTATAGGGACAATAGTCTGCCATTCAGTTTTAGGAACCGAAGGGAGACATCATATTATCGCACTGTCTGTCCGTCCGTTTGTCCGTCCTTCCGTCCGTTCTCATATTGTGTTGCACGTAGCTTAAAATGTATTTGACCTAGAGTCATGAAACTTTTCAGGAATGTTGATCAGCATGTGAAGTTGTGCACCTGGGGTTTTGCTTATGGATTAATTCTGTTTTGTCACAGTTTTGCCCTTGATTTAATAAAAATGTGCGATTTTCAACTTGTGTCGCACGTAGCTCAAAAAGTATTTGACCTAGAGTTATGAAACTTTACAGAAATTTTGATACGCATGTGTAGTTGTGCAACTGGGTATTTTCGTTTATACATTTCTAGTTATAACATTTAAACAAGCATTTTAAAAGAGAAAATGGATCATTAAAAACAAAAATAATTGTTCCGCTTAATATCATTATCCCGGGGGCATTTATATTTTGCGGAACGAAACAGAAACAATATAGAACGAGTTGTACTGAAACAAATGTCACGTGACACTGGATTATGAAAGATTACTTATCCATTGTATATTTATTTTTCAAGCCACTGGACACAGCAGTTTGATCCCTCTAGAAATCCTTAGAATGGATAAGCATTCGATAGAATTATACAAACGAGCATTAAGTGAGGGCAAAGAAGCTGTTTACAATATTCGAGTAATGGTTGTCGGCCATTACGGTGTTGGCAAGACAACGCTAACAAAGCGTCTGTTAGATGAAGATGTTGATATTAACAAGCGAGAGAGCACAAATGGTATTGATGTTCACGTAAAAAGATGTAAAGTGTCTCGGGAAACTGGACAATGGGAAACAGTAGCCAAAGGTGAATATACCAACCTGCACTTGAAAATATCTGAATGAATGGTTTGTAGATTTGTTCATTAGCTATATGTCATGTGGTCGATATTTGTGTTTTGTTATTTGTTACGAATATCGTTTGTATGTATCATTTTGTCCTTGTATTTGTATATATATCTCGTGTATTTGTCTGTTATCTATGTTTCTCTACAGTCTGATATACTATCCATTATCCCATATCATTCCAATATCATTCCCTTTCATCATCTTTTCATTATAACAACTAATTACTTATATTTCATTTGACATAATTTGCATGCCGGGTCTCAGTTTTTACAAACTTCCCGGATAAACCACCTCACGCATGCGCACTTTGATAAACTGTCACAGGGTGAGAAAAATGTGCAGCCTGACCGGGACTCGAACCCGGGGCCCTCGGAATACCGTACTGTGGCTCTACCGACTGAGCTATCCGGCCGCTTACACATCATCTCCCCGAAAAAGTGAATAGTTCTGAACTTTGAGATACTCCCCTGCTTTATTGAAATTCGTCCTCGAATTTCACAGAGTTACAGAGCAATGTAAATTAAACTCTGAGCTATATGCAGTCACGGTCCCCCACACTGGCCACCAATGTCCTATGGTCCTTTTACATGTAGGGAATGGTTGTTTATGATGCCTGTAAAGGACATAAAAGCATACGCCTTGATAAATAAATAAATAACACAAACAATTTCTGGCGCAAACCTTAGAAATCTAAGGTTTGCGCCAGAAATTGTTTGTGTTATTTATTTATTTATCAAGGCGTATGTTTTTATGTCCTTTACAGGCATCATAAACAACCATTCCCTACATGTGAAAGGACCATACAACATTCGTAAAATGCCACGGTTCAGAACTGTCCACTTTTTCAGGAAGATGATGTGTAAGCGGCCGGATAGCTCAGTCGGTAGAGCAACGGTACGGTATACCGAGGGTCCCGGGTTCGAGTCCTGGTCAGGCTGCACATTTTTCTCACCCTGTGACATATATCACTGCAGTTAATTGAATTCACTATACCCTGTCTTCTGAGCCGATACAATTCAATGTGCATCATGACTTGCAATTACAACCATGTGTAACTTACATTTGTTTGTACCTTCATAAAAATCATTAAAACTACCTTACTGTGCTTGTTCTTGGGCACTTATATAGTTTAATGTTTACCTTTCTCGCAATAACATGATGTAGACATATTTAAACTGATAATCTAACATATGCTTTTCATAGTCCTATTTGGTAGTTTTGTTTCTTTTTTATGCCACCGCAGCATCTGCGATGCGGTGGCATATAGCGATTCACCTGTTTGTGTGTGTGTGTGTGTTGGTGCGCGCTTGCGTGTGCGTGTGTACGTGTGCTGTATAGATTATATAGTGAACTTAAAAAGTCATCTTGTGGAAAACGACTAGCCCAATTTTAACCAAACGTGGCAGGATTGTTTTTTGGGTGAAGGGCTTCCAAAGTTGTTCAAAGAATTCGATTCCATGCAGAAATCTGGTTGTAAGAATAAACTTAAAACATCTTTTTTGTAAAGATCCACACGGCCTAGAGCTTAGATATTTTGCTTAAGACATTGTTTGGTAGACTTCTACCAAGATTGTTCAAATTATAGCCCTGGAATCAAAATTGGCCCTGCCACGAGGTCATTAATTTTCACTATGAGCATATAGAAAAACCTTAAAAAATCTTTTTGTCTGAAGGTACAAGGCTCAAAGCATTGATATTTGGTAGATAATATTATATATAAGTCTTCTTCCAAAGTTGATCTGATTTTGCCCTGAGTGTCAAAATTGGCCCTTTTCTTATGTGTATATAATAAAAGTTTAAAAAAAATTCTTCTCGGTGAGATATTTGGCATGAAACATTGTATAGTGAACCTCTACCAAGATTGTTCAAATTATAGCCCTGGGCTCAAAATTGGCCCAGCGCCGGGGTCTTTGATTTTCACAATGTACATATAGTAAAAACTTAAAAAAAATTATTTTATGAAATGAAACAACTTTCAATGGAATGCCTGATACATATCATTGAATTTTTATGTAAAAGATTCAATAGCTTGGAGTCAGTATATAGGTCATAATTTTTAGAGATGTTTATGAAATGATTCATATCATGAACTCTAGCAAGACAGTTGTAAGCTTTGTAGAGATATTTGAGCACATTATAAGGACATTATGATTCACACTATGGATATAATAATGATTATGTTTGTAGAAATTGGTAATGCTTTATTGAAAAGATGGTATTTAGAAAAAAGTTACTGTACCTGCATTTCAAAGTTTAATACAGTTATATTAAACAGTTAATACCTATTTTGTCATTAAAGCTTCTTTCATCTTTTAACCTTTTACCCCATGAGAATATTGCGAAAAAATGGCCGTTTTCATTAAAAAGCCTCCTGTAACAAGTTCAAACTGCTATGAAACTATGAAAAATGCTTAAATGCTGATAAAACTTGGCACAAATGTTGACTAGACCATAGCCTCTGTAACAGTATGCTCAATCGCAAGTTAACAATGTAACAAGGGGACGTCTCAAATTTACCAAAAATCACTATTTTGCATTGTTTTTTTCCCATCAAAACTGATTTCAAAGTGCTACAACTTCTCAATGAATGGAGATAGAGTAAAAGGCTTTTCAGCGTCGGTTACTAGTTACCCTAAGATCGACCTGAGGTAATTTTTAGCCTGTCACATGTCCAAAATTTTCTTGGCGATGAGGGGGACTACCACCCCCTTCAACCCCCCAAACAGAAGGGGGCACATCCCCCTTCTGGCAACCCCATGATGTAATAATTTGGACAGGGGGGCGCCGAAAAAGTGGTCACTTTTTTCAACAACATTTCTCAAACGAAAAACACTGTTTGTGGTCTAAATAGGGCATTTTATCACTGTTTGAGTCCTCAAAAGGGGGGGGGGACAAAAGCCGTCGAAACACGTATATATGAGGGAAAAGGTTAATCAATTATTGCACTATGGCCTTTGTATATTAACATTAGACACATTTGCACATGCGTCTAATGATATGATATGCTGAAATATGACCTTGACTTCAAAATTCACTAGACACTACAGCATTATGGCAGTTCAATTTTATTAGTAACAAAAAAAATCTACTTCTGTTTATTTAATGCGGTGGCATAACATTTTTTACATATGCATTCTTGGTTATTTTGTTGTTGATGTTTTCATTTTACAGAAAAAAATGATGTGCGATTTTGTACCAACACAACATGTAAAATTAATACCAAGCAAGGAAGCAATGAAATAAATCACTTTTTGTTTGTTTGTAGATCAGAAAGTTGGCACAGTGTGTAACCGTCTGCTTCATTTGTTAAAAAAACCACTTACCACGGAAAAGGAAGTTGTTGTAATGGAAAATGAGAGTACAGTAGGAGCTGTTAATGAAGAGTTTGAAGTTGTAGATGAAGATACAGCAATAGAGAGCAACAGTCAAGATATAACAGAAAAGAATGAAGGTAATGATGATCATATAATGATTGAAAATACACTTGGAGCGTATTGTCACCAAGTATTGCTTAACATTGTCAAGACAACCAAACGGTTTTCAAATGGTTGAAACAAAACGCAGAACAACATTTTTCATGGCAAATGTTCGATTTCTGTATATCGATTCATAAATTGGGTACTATTGTGACATCTAGGTATATAAAAAAAATTTTCAGAAAGAAAGCTTAATCTAACGGCTAATCAACGACCTAAAGCACAATATTATTTATTATCCCCCGCCGAAAGGCGGCGGAGGATATAGAAATAGTATCTGTCCTTCCGTCCGTCCGTCCATCCATCCATCCATCCATCAGTCCGACATTTTTGTCGAGAGCATATCTCAAAAAGTATTTGAGGTATCAACTTGACACTTCATAGATGGATAGATCATATTAAGGAGTGCAGTGTGCAAGAATGATAACTCTATCCTGCATAATTTTTCAGTTATTGCCCTTTGTTATTTTTCAAACTTAATTTTTGTCCAGAGCATAACTCTAAAAGGCTTTGAGATATCAACATGAAACTTCATAGGTGGATAGATCTCACTCAGCAGTTGTGCAGTGCATAATAATGATAACTCTACCCGACATAATTTTTGAGTTTTTGCCCTTTGTTATCTTTCATACTTATTTTTTCACTTGAGTAGAGCATTACTAAATAAGTCTTTGAGATGTCAACATGAAACTTCATAGGTGGAAAGATCTTATTGAAGAGGAATACTGTGCATAAGAATGATAACTCTACCCTTTATAATTTTTGAGTTAATGCCCATTGTTATTTTTTTCTAACTTTTGTCCGGAGCATATCTCAAAAAGTATTTGTGGTATCAACTTGAAACTTCATAGGTGGATAGATCATATTGAGGAGGAGTGCAGTGCACAAGAATGATGACTCTATCCTGCATATTTTTTCAGTTATTGTAATTTGTTATTTTTTAAACTTAATTTTTGTCCAGAGCATAACTCACAAAGCCTTTGCGATATCAACATGAAACTTCGTAGGTTAATAGATCCACCTCAGGAGATGTGCAGTGAGAATGATAACTCTACCCTTTATAATTTTTGAGTTATTGCCCTTTGTTATTTTTTCTACTTTTGTCTGGAGCTTATCTCAAAAAGTGTTGGAGGTATCATCTTGAAACTTCATAGGTGGATAGATCTCATTGAGGAGTGCAGCACAAAAGAATGATAACCTACCCTGCATTATTTTTCAGTTATTGCCCTTTGTTATTTTTCATGTTTATTTTTTGTTATTTTCAGCCATCAGTATTCACATAAGTTTCAAATCTGTAATCACTTCAGCCATCAGTTTTCATTACCACCTCTTAAACTTGAATTATTCTGCTCTACTACATATACATTATTCCAATGCGCAAACACATTCGGCGGGGATGGCCATGTGAACATGGCTCTTGTCAGTTATTAACATACATTTTATCAATTTAAATAAAACTAATACTGTGAAATATAGGTGCAGAAGTTGTGTGTACAGAACCAGAACCAAAGAAGTTGAAAGTAACTTTGACACCGCTGGAAGAAGAAAACGTCACTTATGAGAATTTCCAACCACTTCAAGACACCAAGGAAGAAAATATACTCTATCACTTGAAGGTAAGACCATTTTTGTTGTGAGTCAAGTTTTATTGTGGAGGAATACCTCAAGTGCTCCTTATTTCATTATTTTAGGCCATAGTGTGCACATTAATAGAACCCCGACAGTATGTAAGCTACCTGGGTTGCTTTCTTCTATAAAAGAATGTTAAGTCCCTGGCGGATTCAAATCAACACGGTGGGAAAACAATTTTGTTAGAAGTCAGCAAACCTTTTAATTTTCTGCCACAGTTTTCCCCCAAAGTATAAAAAAGGTGCAATATTTTTAATCGTCATTGATTAAATCTCTTTCTTAAAGTCCCATTAAATGAAGTAAAAATTATGAAAAGTAGGATAGTGTGGTATTAATTGATTGTGTGTTATTAAGGATTGTCATTAATATTCAGTACTGGTTTCCTAGCAGTTTCCGGCCAAAAATCACACTTTTTTACAAACAGTATAAATATCGGTCGACGGATAAATATAAAATTTTGATAGAACATAGGTAGGTTCCTGCCCAGCAGTATCGTGTTTTCGATTATTCTATTTTTATTTTATTTTTAATGAAATATGGGTCAGAAAAGAAGTACCTTTTTCTAGCTTTTTTCTTTAATGTCATAGCAGTTTTCCGGACATTTTCATTTTACATATAGTTTAGCCCAATAAACGATGAAAAGATGTTTTATTTCAGAAATATTTTGTTCTACCCTTTTGTCACACAATACGCACAACTGCTTGTTTTTTTTACGTCATATGAGCTATAAATAGCTCCGTCAAAGTTGAGGCCCGGCCCGGGAGTAATAAAAATTAACAACAAACGCATATTAAAGGTGATTTGATGTTTCTATATTACGTACTGCATTAGATCTAGATATATAAATTCACTTTACCTTTTCAACATTTGAGAACAATCTACATAACAATGATTAAACATAAAAATACTTTTTTTAAAGAACAAAAACAAAAAATATACAGTATACATGTATATAAAAAATATGTTAAAAGTATACATACTATCACAGTTAAATTATAATCACAGTGAAGTCAACGAACTTTAAAAAGGTTTTTTTTTTCTACAGTAATAGAGCTTTATCCTGTAAAACATATAACATGTATATAACAGGCACTTTCTGTTTTTAAGTTCTATTCCTCATACAACCATGGTTTACAACTGTGGCAATACCAGACCTCATCCATTTCCATACTTTCCCATAAGTATTCTTTGGCCTGTTGCGTCAAGCAGTCTTCGTGGAACCATAAACCACACGTTTCCTCATCACATCCAAACCATAGTACTCCATTTTCCTCGTCAGCCGGGCTACCCTTCCCTTTACAAATATCACATATATACAAGCTTGCAATCATGATCTGTTCCTCAGTGTATGACCTTCTTTTTATCCGTTCCTCCTTTAATAAATAAAGAATTCACATTTAACAAGAGGAAAATAAAACAGGCATATACGTAAGGAAACTTACTTACGCAACCACACGCTTGCGCGCACACACAGATTCATATCAGGCTAAATGTCCAAAATAAAGATTCGAAAAAAACCATCGACTCGATACTTGGTTATTTTCAAACTTGAAACTAGATAAAAAAATAGACATTAATGCTCTTACCTTCTCTTTTTGCTTCCTGTCACGTTCCTCTATACGTTTTTGTTTCCTCTCATTCTTCAGTTCTTCTTCTTTCTTCTTTTTAGCTACCCTTTCTTCCTTCTCTTTCAGTCTTTTATTTTTTCTCATTTCATCATCAACTTCTTTCTGCTTTCTTTTTCTTTCTTGTTCATTTTTTCTCCTCTCTGATTCTTCTTTCTTCTTAGCGTCTAGGTCCTCTTTTTCCTACATAAATAGGAATTGAAAATGAGTATAACTCATATATTGTTATATTTTGTTACAAAACATGTTTTCTATCGTTCTTTACTGTTAAGATACGAATATTGACAAAAAATTGCATACTTAAGCATAGAAATGATTACAAAAATCTAGATAATTCAACTTTTCTGGAAAATATATCGCAATAAAATAAAATTTCGTGATATGTACCTTCAATTACTCATAAGTTAAAAAAGGGTTACAATATATGTTTTGAAATGTTTTGAAATTATCGCAATGACAGTTATGTATACGACATGCAGTCGAATTACTACCATAGCGTTTATAGTTAATCGAGAAACAACGCGGGCAAACCTTTAATTGATTCAACATTTCTTGGCCACTTATGAGCCTTCCCTCTGCTACCACTCTAGACTTTTTTGCTTGTGTGTTCTGTGGTTTAGTTGGCGGAGGTAGAAGAACATTTGCCAAAGACTCTGATATCATGCCTCTCCTTACCAATGGATTGGTAAGGAACGATCCACAGGTGCTACATGTCCTTACCTCATCTTCTTCTAAAAACAATGCAAATATTGTTAAAGTATTAAAAAATTATATATCAAATATTTACTGCTTTCTTTAAGTGTGTTTAGATATTACGAAATATAAAAAGAATTACTTTATCCGACAGTTTTTTTTTTTTTTTTTTTTTTTTTTTTTTTTTTTTGCCTTACCGGTACTAATTAAATTTACAAACAAATGTATCGTACTCGGCAAGTTTTACCTTCAATAAATGTTGGCTTCACTATCTGCGTTTGATCAATGATAGAGGGGTTAAATGGACAAATCCCTGTTTTCGTGAAGCCGTCAGCTATAGTTGCAGGAGCAATTTTGTCCATTGCGTGCTTTAATAACACCGGGAATTTTTGCCCTTCCTACGCTTACTGCAGTTTTTAGATATCCAAGACTTGACAGTGTTTTGGTGTAAGCGTCCTTCAAAGGTGATATAATCTGAAAGTATTTAACACATTCATCAAAAATGTTTGAAATTTAAAACTTGCACATGTGTGCAGTTACAATAAACTGATTAATACTAAATGTATTATAAACGATAATTTAGTTTGATGATTAGATTGTTTAGAACGTCCGGCTCTCTTTCTAAGCGAGATGTACAAATTTTTGTTCGTACTGAAAAGCAATTTAAGTAAAAATATGTTATTAAAACATCAAATAATATTTCCCAAAGCAAATAGTGGTAACATTAACTTGTATATTACATGATTGGGTAAGCTGACTAATTATTACAAACTTACGTTCACGTCCAAAGGCTGTAGAATATGCGTGGAATGACCAGGAAGACCAAGAAGAACAATATTTTCAGCTATCGCCTTTTCAACAACTGGAATGCTAATATGAGAGTCGTGGTTATCCATGATAAGTAGGACGGGTCTTGTTCTGCCACAGTTTGGAACAAACACGCTGAAAAACCATTTTGTGAAAAGTTCACGCGTCCATGTAGCCGTTTTCACTGTGGCCAAAATACCATGACGACGGTACACTATCTGTGTAATTCTGGTGAGGTAATGAACCCTGTAATAGAAAGTACATGATAGAAAACGTATCATTGTATATCAGAATAAAGTATAGTATACATGATAATTTTATACAGTTATCTTGTACATGAAAATAGAATTGTACTTTCTTCAAAGCGTTATCGCTAGCAAATGCATACTTAATAAAATACCTTGTAAATTATAAGAGGTGGTAGAAAGTGTCCATCTGCTGAGACACAAAGATGTGCTGTCACGTGATCTCCTGAAGATGTCTTTCTTCTAAACAAATGCCCTCCACGAGGCCCGATTACTTTCGACCTAGGTGCCTCTTTTCCTGTAAATCCAGTTTCGTCACAATTGAAGATCTAATAATAAAACATAACAGTTACTTAAATTATTCATACACGGTATGCTTATTATAACGATCCGTTGTGGAATATTCTTTGTTACCTGTATTTTCATATTTCATATGGATATATTTTTATGTATCAAATGCCATAATATATAAAAAGAGTTACATATGTAAAAAGAGATAATTAGTTCGTTATAGAACGTTTATTCTATATAAAGTGCCAACATAAACAATGCTTACTCTTTCTGGTTTGTCTTTCAAGTCGTATTTTATCAAGAAACAGACTTGAGAAGAGGAAAAAAAATTGTCAAGCATCCTTTTATGATGACATGATACTCGGGCATGTCCATGTTTTCTGCCCTTTCTTTCGCCCCAGCCAAAGTTCTGATGCGGGCCCCAAAAGCGCCCTTCCCCTTTTTTGGTTTTTTTTTTTACCCCCCCAAAGGAAACTTTGCTCACACAACCATCAGGGCACGCGCGTTCCGGGGTTTTTTTTCTTTTTATGTAGAAATTAAACTAGTGACGTACGGCTCTTTTAAAGAAAAATTTTTAACAAAATTACAGTACCCTTTAACAGAACTATATTTTCATTGTAACTTGAAATTAATGATGTAAGAATTCCCTTTAGAAATTCGTTCAAAATATGATTATGATAGACACAATATAATTGGTCGAGTAGATTCTAAAATTAAACCCGCAAATTTACCATGGAACATTTTATATTAAAAAAACACACACCTGATTGTATATTATCTCTTGTATGTAACACCTGATCATAGCCCTGGAAAGTGGAAAGCCTTGATTCGCCATGTATAAGAGATACTGGACAAGGAGTCCTCTTCGTGTTGTAGTAGCTGTTTTTCTGGTCCAGGTCTGTTTCCCCGAGTACTTGTGTCTCACTTTGTCAGAAGAGAGTTGATTTTGGTACTCCGAATATTCTAGCAGCCGCTGTAATTTCATTTTTCTTTGACGCACAGCTGACAAAGCTGACGCTAGTTGATCTTCGGTGTATGTCTTTGGCATTATATTACCTAAAACGTTTAACCAGTAATGTATAATAATAATTTTTATTTGGAAATAAGATAAATTTTAAAGTTTGTAAAAACAAATTTTATCGCGAATAGCTTGTATAAAAAATAAAAAGGAGAGAGGAGAGAGAAAAAAAAAAAAAAAAAAAAAGAAGTGGTCGTGAGTAGGTATACGAACCCGGGTCGCATGTGTACAACGCCAGTCATCATACCTCTCGGGCTACAGAGGATTGTTATTTGTGGACGATTGTAAAATATATATAACCATAAAAGTAAAAATAGCATCGATCGATATTTTATGCGATATTCAATTATTCTTGCTGTAAAAAACTACATACGACTTTCTGTGCATCTTTCACTGTGATAGTAATAATTTATCGTGTATATTTTAAAGCTGGAATAATTTTTAAAAAATTTTTTAACACATCGTCTGCAAGTAAAATGTTCGTAAATATTAATTTACCTCGAATGGGGCCTCATTATTGCGCATGCGCATTTAAGCTGGAAATCCCCAGGTGTTGTTAATAGGTGATGCGACAAGTTCCGTAAAGTAGCTACAAACAACCGGCAATTCCTCAAAATAAATAGACCGCTGTTCTTATTTATTTGCGCGTTGTCTAGAAAACAAACGTCTGTATGATTTGATGAAGTTTCTAGATGCTTTATAGTTAAAAATAAACCGAAATGAACGAAAATGAAAACGGCCGGAAAACTGCTAGTGTCCGGAAACTGCTAGGAAACCTGAGTACAGAATTTTTGTCTTTATTTCTAAAAACTTACTCTTTATTTAAACAGTTATGAATGAATATTTTTGCTTGACATCTTATATTTCGTTATCCATTTTCATCACAGTAAAAAAGTTGTGGAGGTATCTCACCAATTCGAGTTTTTGACTTATTCTTAATTTGTAATATCAGAACCATTCAGTTTGATATTATGTGCTGTAGGATTATTACATATCGTATCAAAAATTCTTTCTTTTCTTTCTAATCATCGTTTATACTTTTATTTAAGTTATAGATATTAATTGTTTGATTAAAACAAATACTTTCTTGAAGGAGTTTTAAATTTCATTTCTCTTGGCTGTCTTCTATCTTCAAAGGCCTTGATAGAAGAAGTTCAGCATTCAGGGTCCACAGATGATTTAAACATGGCGGATGTCTCCATTTGGGATTTTGCGGGACAGTCTGTTTTCTATGCCACTCATCAGGTGTTTTTGTCAAGGAGAGCAGTGTATTTGTTAGTCACAGACGTATCTAAACGCATGGAGGACGAAGTAAAAGATGATGAATGTTTCCAGGACAGCAAAGGAGTTAAACATTGGAAAATATCAGGTATGCCATAAAATTAAACTATATATATTAATAAATATATTAATTAAACATTTTGACGCATGTTTGTGTGTTAATTGTGGACAAAAGTACTGATCTTATTATGTTGAATGCATCATGATTATATGATATTTGTAGGGACGCGAGAAGACAAAATATTTGAAATATGTCAAATCACTCAATGCATTATTATTTTTGCGTATGATGTAAAAATATTAGAAATGAAACAGTAATAACAAATATTAAAGACTATTTTTGTTTTCTTATAATTTATCACAGAAAGCAAGTAAAAAAAGTTTCCAAGTGGAGAATAAAAACATAATAAAAGCTATTTCATGTCTTAAAGCAATTTTGCTGTTATCAAATGCTTTCATTTTTGTTCTGCTTTAAGTTTTATTAAAAATACGTTATGCTCATTTTTAGCTCGACTTTTCAAAGACAATGAAGAGCTATTGCAGTCGCCCCGGCGTCGGCGTCAGCGTCTGCGTTGTTAAAGTTTATTGTAAAGTCAAACATCTCATTTATTGCTTTAGATATTCAATTGAATTTTACAGTACTTATTTATAGTAACAATGTACATCAGATTGACAAGTTGGATAATTCTGCCTACAATATTTAAAGTTTGTTTTGGTTTGTTTTTGTTTGTTTATTTCATTTTAACCCTTTTCCCAACAGTATTTCGTCATAAAGGCGAGGTAGTTTCTTAACCATTGTTCATGGAGAGTTACACCAGTACTAGACTACTTTCCTCCGCCACTAAACTACCAAAGCATTCTCCCGGGGATCGAAAACCCACGACAAGAGAATCGGTAACTTAGATTAAAAGAAGTCATCGACTTTAAACCCCTCGGACCACAATGCCTTTATTTTTACTTTGGTTTTAAAGTTTTTTTGTAAAGTCAAAATCTTAATTATTGCTCGAATTTCAATTTGAAATTTACAAATACCTTTTTTATTGTAGGCAAATGTACATCAGTTTTTGCCAAAGTTTCATAACTTGCCTGCCAATATTGCAGACTTATGCCCCTTTAAAACCTTAGAAAATTTCTGGTTATGGTAAAAGGTCTTTAAGAAACTTGAAACTTTTACACATGTACTTAGGGTAATAATTGAAGGTTACATCTCATGATCCATTACTCTGCCAGTATTTTGACTGGAATTATTGCTCTCTTATGAACTAAAAAAAATCTCCTTTCTTGGGGTAAGTTTAACATGCAAAGTTTTGCATAATCTCTGAAAACTATTAAAGATTACAAACTTGAAACTTCATGTGTATATTTGTGCTCATAATTAAAGATAACTGAACAGCACACATATATGTGTTCATGCGTTTAGGCTGATTAATCTCCCCCTTTTTTACTTAGTCTCTTTGGTAATGTTTTAATGTAAGTTTTACATATCTCAATAACTATCAGAGATTTTGATTTGAAACTTCACATATATAAAAGGGTCATAACTGTATGTCAGTGACCAAGTTCAATAACTCTATCATTAAGGCTGATTTAACTCCCCTTTTCTACTTATTCTGTTGGTTAATGTTTACATGCAAGTTTTACATATCTCAAAAACTATCAAAGATTTTTATTTAAAACACATACATGTATGCATTTAGGGTCATAATTCTAGATCACTGATCAAGATCCATAATTCTATCTTGCATTTAGGCTGATTGTTCTCTCATTATGAACTTTATATTTTGATCAACATAAAGGTTAAAAAATTATTACAGAATAATCATTATATTTCCAAAGGTAATTTTCTCTTAATACATTTCATTTTCTGACATGACTGTCTATTGAAACTCCAACACGTCCATTACAAAACTGCTGACTTGTTCCTTGATTTTAAAAGGAACTTATTGCATATTTTTATAAACAAAAATAAAGGTTCCTGAAAATTAAATCTTTTTACACATGTTTGTTAGGTAGAGGCCATTTTTATAATAACTGAGTACTCTTGTTTTTCAAAATTTATTTTTTGGGCTATAAATTTTTATTCACAATTTTTTATTATGACCCCTTTAAACACATTTCAATTTGACCGAAAGTTTTTTATTTTTGTTTTGTTAAAATTTTCATTTCCCTTTTTAAATTAAAATATTCAAATTCCCTTATTGGAAATTTTAAAAGAAAGTTTAAATGCCCCGGCATTTCCTTTTTGTATGTTCCCAAATTTACTAATAGAAAAACTAGTTTTTTTCCCAATTTAAAAAACTGCATTTTTTTAAAAAAAATATTTCAATTTTACTTGCAGTTTTTTAAAACCCTTTTTTTTAAAAAAGTATGCTTAAAAATGATATTCTAAATAAAAAAAAATGCTTTTCCACAACCCCTAAACCCAGCCGGGGCCTAGCGTAAAAGGGTAGATTTCCCGGGCTGTAAAAAGGTAACCATTTTTCCCCAGTCCCTGTCATTTCCATTAGTCCCTAATGCCATTATTTGATAACTGGTTCTAATTGTCCTGCATGCTGTCATCGGAACTGCTCTCCAAATTTATTGCCCCTTTTTATACCTCCGATGAAACTCATGGTTAACTTTTTGCTTGTAAGCTGGTATCTACCTAACTACTGAAGGGAATGAAATTACATTAACATACATTTTTCATTGTGATTTTTTAACATGATTGGCAACAGGTCCCATAACTCTGATTTTACTTATTTACATATTTGCCCCATTTTTAATTTTCAATGAAACATCCTTTTGTGACAACTCTATCAAACGCCGAGCCGTTGCTGTCCGCCGACAGCTCTTGTTTCATTGTGAAGTTGAGTTTTTAATTGATTATATATTTTTTAAAGATTACCCCATTAACAGTGGCGATTGATTAACATTTGATATTGAAAAGTGTTAAGGATATTGTATAAATCTGCATTAAATATTTAACGGCTTTTCCACTCTTTTTTTATAAATTGAACTTTAGAGGTCATTTTCATTGAATATTGTTGGATATTTATAGATAATTTCTTATGCGATTATGTATCTTAATTTATCTCGTTAATGAGGATATATGGACCGAAAACTTTGGATTATTTTAATCAATTATATCCTGATATTCAGACATCAATGCATTGCATATCCATTTACTTAATATAACTTAACAAGTTATTTATAATTTTTCCGTAAGTGATTGAAATCTAATCCATGATTTCGCTTGAAGATCGAACCAGCAACCCAAGAATTATTTTTCCGTTGCTCCTCCAATTAAGATAAGCGTTCGGTCCCTAAGGCTTGGACATTTGTGTAGTTTTTTTGTTATTCCGTTTCAAAGTGGATTAATTTACAATGAACATATTTTCCAATAGATATTGTTATAAAATGTTGCTTGATATAAATGTTGATAAAGTTCTCAGTGATTTGGAATGACCATTTATCTGATGAATGTTATAATTATGTTCTAGGACACTTTTTTTCTGATGTTATATAGGATCATGTATTTCAGATTTGCCAACAACTTTCATTCTTTTAGGTCAACAGAACATAAGGTTCAGGGTGAGCTATTAGTATCAAAGGGGGATACTCCGGCGTCCGGCGTCCGTCGTCATGCGTCAACAATTGTCTTCTTCTCTGAAACTCCAGGGCAGATTTACTTCAAATTTGGCCTGTAGCATCCTTGTGACATTCACACTTGAATTTGCTCATGTCATTTCAATTGGCCCTTTTTCCAAATTATTTCAAAATAATTACAAATAATAACAAAGCTAAAAAACAAAAAAAACAATAAACATCTTCTACTACAGAACTAATTGATGGAGCATTCTTTGGCTGTAGCATTCTTGGGTAGTCTTTTATCAAGTTTGTTCATATTAATTTGATTGGCCCCTTTTTATGGGTCTCTAGGGCTAAGAATATAAAAAACTTTAGACATCTTCTTCTACAGAACTAATAGATGGATGATCACCAAACTTTGTCTGTAGCATTTTCGGGAAGTCTTTTATAAAAGTTGCTCATATTTATTTGATTGGCCCCTTTTTAGGGGCAGCTAAAGCTAAAAATAGAAATACCTTTAAACGTCTATTTCTACAGAACTTACTGATAGATGATCACCAAGCCTTGTCTGTAGCATTCTGAGGTAGTCTTTTATCAAGTTTGGTCATATTATTTTGATTGGCCCTTTTAGGGGTCTCTAGGGCTAAGAATAGAAAAACCTTTAAAAATCTTCTTATACAGAACTAATAGATTGATGATCACCAAACTTTGATTGTAGCATTCTTGGGTAGTCTTTTATCAAGTTTGCTCATATTAATTTGATGGGCTAAAGCTATAAATAGAAATACATTTTAACGTTTATTTCTACAGAACTAATTGCTGGATGATCACCAAACTTTGTCTGTAGCATTTTAGGTAATCTTTTATCAAGTTTGCTCATATCAATTTGATTGGTCCCTTTTAGGGGTCTCTAGAGCTAAAAATAAATAGAAAAACCTTTAGACATCTTCTTTTAAGAAACTAATTGATGGATGATCACAAAACTTTGTCTGTAGCATTCTTGGGTAGTCTTTTATCAAAGTTGCTCATATGAATTTGATTGGCCTCTTTTAGGTGCAGCTAAAGCTAAAAAAAAGAGAAACCTTTAAACGTCTATTTCTACAGAACTAATTGATGGATGATCACAAAACTTTGTCTGTAGCATTCTAAGGTAGTCTTTAATCAAGTTTGCTCATATTAATTTGATTAGCCCCTTTAAGGCGCCACTAAAGCCAAAAATAGAAAAACCTTTGAACATCATTTCCTACGGAAATAATTGATAGATGATCACCAAATTTTGTAGCATTCATAGGTAGTCTTTTATCAAGTTTGCTCATATTTATTTGATTGGCCCCGTTTAAGCTAAAGCTAAAATGCCCTAGGTCATGTCATTTCTTCATATCATTGTTTAAACATATTCCATGCTCAAAATTTTAGACAAAATTGACAATGGATAATATCTAACACTGAAAAGTAGTTGTTTCTTGTGAGCGACTCAGGGTCATAATGGCTCTCTTGTATTATTTTGTGGTTTGTTGTATTGCCAAATACTTAATAAATACTATCAACGTAATTATGCATTGAATTACAGTCCCAACATTATTGACCACTGCACTTTTTATGCCCCCAAAGGGAGGCATAATATAATCGCACTGTCTGTCTGTCCATCTGTCTGTCCATCTGTCCCCTTTCATTCGTGTCCGGACTGTAACGCTGTCATACATTGAGAGATTTTGAAGTAACTTGTCACAAATGTCGACCAAATCAAGACAATATGTCACATTCCTACCTCAAAGGTCAAGGTCACACTATCATTTTAAAGTTGTACATTATCGCAATTAGAGTAAATAGGTACACACATTCGTATCCGGACTGTAACTTTGTCAAGCATCGAATGATTTTAAAATAACTAAGCATAAATGTCTACCACATCAAGACGATGTGTCGCGTGCAAGAATAACGTCTCTACCTTAACGGTCAAGGTCACGCTAACATTTTGAATTTCATTTTGAATTCACAATTAGAATAAATAAGTACACACAATCGTGTCTTGGCTGAAACATTGTCATGCATGAAAGGATTTTAAAATAACTTGGCATAAATGTCTACCACATCAAGACGACACGTCGCGACAAAGACCCATGTCCCTAAAGTCACACTTATTGCTTGAAGGTACTCATTCTTTCGAGAAGTGTTTGAAGATACACATTCAAGTCCGGCCTGTAACTTTGTCATGCATGGAAGGATTTTAAAATAACTTGGCACAATGTCTACCACATCAAGAAAATGTGTCGCGGCTAAGACTCATGTCCGTCTGTCCGTGTGTCCCCACTTACACAACAATCATGTCCAGACTGTAACTTTGTCATGCATTGAGGGACTTTGAAATAATTTGGAACAAATATCTATCTCATAACAAAACTTTGTCGCGTCCAGGAAACACGTCCTTTCTTCAAAGGTCAATGACACACTTATATTTGAAGGTTCGTGCTATCACTATTCGATATTACAAGTACATTATTACAAAAAACAATATTTAGCAATTAGTTACGTTCATTCTCTTTTCTTTTCATAATACCTGCATGCTTAAGAAACCTTTTCGGGGGCATTCGTCACTTGGGTGACAGCTCTTGTTTATATAATGTTATCGTTTTTGTACGTATTTTTAAATTTGGTTATGATGACTTTCAGAATTTGTTAATTTCTGGTTGAATTCAATCCAGGAGTTTTGTGATTCATCAGAGGATGGAGGCCCGCCTGTCCTACTGGTTGGAACGTTTGCAGATAAGATAGAACAAGTAACTTGACATTCATTTTGTTATGCCGCATGGTTTAATAATATTTTAAAAAATAATATCAGTCCCAGTGGTGTTTATCAACTATTTGACACCAATGTTATCTACTTACTCTAATATGCATTGAACAAGTGTGACCATTTTTAGCATTGGATCTCAGGTGAGCGATCTAAGGCTATCGGTTCTGCTGGTTGGAATGATTTCAGATAAGATAAAAACAAGTGACGTGACATTTAATTTATTAAACCATATGTTTTAATGATATTTAAGAAATATCGGTTTTAGTTGTGTTCAAAAGCTTTTTTTCACCTGTTTGGAATTTTAATGAACGAAACAGTAGACCTCTATTAAGTCATATAATTTATGCTCCAGGGGCCAAAATGACCGCACCCTGAGTGTAAATTAGTGAACGTTGACTTATGATTGTGTAATTAAAAACGTTTTGGCATAAAGCAGCACGCCTCTAGATTCCTGATTATGTTCATTAAAATTTTGAAAATGTATTCAAAAGTAAAATATTATTAAGCGGACAGAGAAAATAGTATGCACATTTCAGACGGCACTTACAGCCAATGTTAATTACAAAAAGAGGTCAAAATATGCAAAATTAACCCTTACTGCGTTAGTAACGCAGTATAAATATGGTGAAAATTACTGAAATATTAGCCATCAATTGCAAATAACATGAAAATTATTACTTTTATCTTTAGTCTTTTTACATTTTTCATAAAACCTCAATACATTTTTGTAAGTGTTAATTCTTGAAGTTTTTGGCTCATCTGTACGCATGCAGCTTTAAACTGTACTGCCTACAGCTATATATGTTGCATGAAGTCTCAAAATTGTCTCCAAGAGAGGTATTTAGTTCAAAAATACTTGTATACTATAGGAAACACATATAAATCTTTTTAAAAATTACAATGATCAGAGTTTAGATATTTGGTATGTAACATTTTACTTGACGACCTTTACAAGTTTATTATAAGGTTAAAAATGGCGCTTTTTATGCTCTCTTATTAATCTCTTATGCATTTAACAAGTTTGACTATTTCTAGCATTTGGGTCTTATGTGGGTGATCTGGTACCACCATGAACTTTTTGTCATGTTAATCATTTTTATTATATTGTTTCTTTTCTTGCAAGACAAAAGTTCTTACGAAAATTATTATCTTTTGTTATTTAACAACTTTTAATGTATTCTGTGTATGTCAGTGTATAATTTTAAATAATATCTTTTTCGATAGGAATCAAAGCAAAAGGCAATAGAAGATTTTTTCTATACATTGAGAGAGTCGCTTGTTGACAAAGTAACATTAAGTCATCTTAAAGAGAAAGACTTTGCAATTGATAATACTATCAAAGACGGCAACATTGATTTACTGAAACAACAAATTGTCAAATCCGCTTCGGCACAATCATATTGGGGAGAGCTTATTCCAGCAAAATGGATAACATTGGAAAACAGCATTGCCAGTCTGAAAAATAAGGGTTCAAAGGTAGCAATACATTATATACAATTTCAGTAAGAAAAAGCAAATGAAGCAATTTATTCTTGCAGTGTCTGTTACAATGAATGCTAGTTCTATCCAATTAAATTTTGACCAAATGGTTGGAATTATTGATATTTGCCTCATTATATTTGTAAAAGGATGAGGGGTTGCCTTAAAGCGTTGCGGTATCAGAAAAGCAGCCACCGTTTATCCCTGCGTGATCTTCAGAGTCGTTTAATGGGTTCGAGTAACTGGAGTCTATGCATCTTGGAGGTGGTTTTGACCCAGTGTTAAATGGTGCCCGGACTACTAATATCAGTTATTCAGATTGTGCACGCAATGTCACACTTTAAAAATCTGGAGATCGTGTGATGACTCGGGAGCATTATTAATCACAACAAAATTACATGAAAATTGCAGACTAAATTTGTTTGAGTGTGTATATGACGGATGATGAAAAAGTGCAACATCCTTCACGGTCCAAAGCACCGGAAGACAACGGAAAACATATATGCTCAGATGAAAAATGATAGCGATTACAGAAATATTTCTTTTCTTTCTATGGGGTAGTTATTCTTGCAATGTCATATTCTTGTAATAGAAAGAAAAACATTTCTATATTAATTGTAGGTTCTACATATAGACATGCTACGGCGTCTGAACAACGCATTGCCTGTTCCTATAGAAACAGATGATGAACTGAAATTATTTTTAAGGTTTCATCATGAATCTGGAAATATTCTGTATTACAGGTATAGTATGACTTTGCAAACTCTACAAATCTTTTCCATGACTTATAAAAGTGTTGTCTACTCAGAAGAAAAGTTTCTTAAATCATTTACTTTTTTAACGAAATGACTTAGATAGTTTAAGAAGCTCGTATTCTAATATTTTCTGGATTTAAAGCTGAATGTTTATGGGAATGTACTGAATTCAAATATGTATTTGATATTTTAAAGTGACATTTTGCCCATTTTTTAGTGTCAAGTTGAGATGAATTAGTAATATGTTTCAAAGGATTCCCTGTTATAATGGAGATTGATCACTAATTGATAAAAAATAATAATGGGATATAATAAAAAAACAAACATTTTTTTTAAAAATCTGTCCCACTCTTTTTTAAATAATAAACGTAACTCATACATTATGAATGATTTTTATACATATTTCCATGTGTCACGTTTATTTATGATAATTTTCACATATTAAAATATAAAATTGAACACAATTATTGCAAATTCCCCATTTACAATTGGATGGGGATATTGTCACTAATAATTGATTCTAAGATTTGGCATGTTTTTGTGTTTTACCTTGAAGATATAGCAATGTGTTGATTTATCTTAATTTTTATGTTCTATCTACACTTTATAATGGAATATTATTATATTGGTTGATAATCCAATTAAAATTAATAAGTAAATGGCGTAAATCATTTATTTTATTAACTTAAAAACTTAAAAGGCACTGTAAAATAAGGCAACAACATTTAATTGCTATTCTTAGTGATTTATAAAAAAGGCGATGTTTTTTATTTCCAAATATGACATTTCACATTACTTTTTTTATTTTAATTGATATTCTCAAAATATTTAGGTTTGTGCATGATCAATTTGCGCTGTTTTATTGTCCATAAATGTTAATATACTTTGGTTTTTTATTTTGATGTCTCGCCCATGGGTAAGTTTAGATTAAAACAAACATTTGTATTCCCTTGTGAAATTTGAATGTTTATAATGTTTAAATAATAAACCATTTGATTCAAGTGTTTATTGCTTAATTTTTTAAACATTTCTGATGATTTTTCCCCAAAAAAAGTTTGTTGTTGAAAACCTCAAAGCTAAACTTTGAATATTTCAGCGATGATAACTTAGGTGATACAATTGTCCTTGACCCCCAGTGGTTGATAGACGCCTTCAAAAGCCTTATAACCGCCAGAATGTTCTGCTGCAGAAAGCCGAATATATTCGAGAAATGGATTAAGTTTAACGAGACGGCAATTTTGACTCGAGAACTTATTGGTGAGTGTAATGTTCAAGTATTTGTGATGTAAAAAACCTTTTGTCGAAATGTTTTATGTATGCAGCATTTATTTATAGCATACATTTTTGAGAAACAGATATAGAGTTTATGAAAGGTTTATCAATATTACCTCAGAATAGTGAATCTTATCTGCAGGCGGCTTGATGCGGGAATATTTTATTGCAGTAATGTTCAATGCATGTGGTCCCCAAATACAGTTAATGCACGTATGTGCACTACGCAAGAAATCATTTGGTGGCTGGGGAAAAAACACCTGCAAGTAAACTTAAAGTGTACATGTATTTGTTTGAAGGATACTTTATTGCACAAATCATAACCGACATTTCCGTATGACTTTTTCAAGACTCATATATTTCATAAATGTTCTAACAGTTGATGAAGAATTTTGAATTTATTTGTTTATAGATGCAATTTGGGAGCAAAAAGAGAATATTGTGTTTTATGAACACAGAGACCTTCTACTAAATTATTTGGAGAAACTTGGAATCATCGCTAAACCACACCAGCTTCCACGTGTAACTAACGTAAGATTATTTAAGAATAAAACACATGTTTTGTGCATGCATGCGCCTGGAAAGATAAAATTGTGTCTTGTAACTGATTTACCTGGTACTTTATGCAAACATGTGGCAAGTTGCAATCAGGTTTATTTAATGGCTTATGATAATTGATATCATAGTTCATATCATTGATGATAGATGTTTGTTTTTGTTGGGGGTTGTATATTAGGGGGTTGGGGATTTCCTTTAGGGTTGGAGGAAATACTTACAGATAGAGGCCTCTTACATGTATAATAAAAACAAAAGTGCGTATGTCAAGATTACAGATCCAGACTGGCAGGAACCATTCGCACCTGCTAAACACTCCCTTTATGAACATAACTTTTCAAATTGTATTTCTTAAAGCTTATTGAATTAAAAACACTTTGTTATTTTCTAAATTGTTGACAATAATCATAATTACAATAAGATAAAGTCATAAGTAGTAAAGATACATATACAGAAGGATATCATGAACTAACTATATTGATAACTGTTATATGTAAATATTCTATAAACGTTATCAATTTATCAATATTTTATGTTGAATATCATAGGAAACAGATTACTACTTTGTTCCGTGTGTCCTGAAAACACCACCGCCAGATGAATTGTTAATTCAAAAAGAGAGCACGGACAGAAGGTCCACCAGTAAACTGTGTTTGACAACCGAATTACGATTTCTACCCACAGCTGTCTTCAACAAGCTCCTAGCAGCTTGTATCAACAGATTGGCACTGCCAGAATCGGATGCGAAACATTTAATTTTCTGTGGATGTGCAGTTTTAGATCTCGAAGGAAATCATACCATTCATTTGTATTTTTTCGATCACGTCATTCAGATTTGGATTACAAAATTTAGCTCCCAGAAGGAAGAGCAATCCAATCGTTTATGTTCCCAAGTTTACGCTTTTGTCTTAGACATTCTCGCCAACGGCTTGCACCTTTCGGATCATCTGAAGGTGTTCTTCAAATGTCAGTCTTCTCAGCACAATTCAAATGAAAACATGTTTTCGGAAGAAAGACTTTCAAAAGGTACAGATGTTGTTTGTCACTGCAGAGCAGGACGGCACGTGTTACAATCTAATGAGCTTACCTATTACTGGCATTGTAAGTTCATGTAGTAGTTTTATTTTGATTTAAACAATTAAGCTTAGAACATTCTTATTCATTACAAAAAAAATTCAAACAACACTTATTTATCCGAAAATGACTGACAACTAATGCCTCATTATGAACCAGTGGTGAGAGACACATGAAATAAGAGTTAGTGTCCAAAATAAGTTGTTACAGAAAATATAACACCTCACCCATTGATCGAAATATCGACCTCTGGATTACTGAAACGATGCTCTACCTAATTAGCTAATGAGCTAAATAGATTGAACTGATGATAAGTGCCTCTTCGCAAATTTAAAACCTATTTAAAAGAATTCCAACATATAGTCATTAATCCCAGTAGTTTTTATAAAATATCTTAAACTGTTTCTTATGTTCTTTAGATGCAGAGGAAGATCCGGAAGAAATGTTAACAGATAAACAAATTAGTAGCATTGCTGGAAACATTGGTAAGGAATACCAGGCGCTTGCGTTTAAACTTGGTCTATCCCAAGTTGAGATTGATCACATTATCAGTGATTTCAATAATGCCGTAGACAGAAGAACACGTATACTACTTCGGTGGAGAGATAAGATGAAAAAGAAAAGGGAAGCTAATCTGGACACTTTAACAAAAGCTATGAAAGCTGTTGGAATTGATTCGAGAACAGTTTTAGAAAGTGCAGAATGTCTGTAGATATCGGAAACAAATAAAAAAAATGGTGGATTTTAAAAAGAAATGGACAAAACTTTCTTGTAACTAGAACACAACTAAACTGAATACTATTTGCATTTGTCATTGATTAAAGAAGTACGGGACAAAATGTATATAATGTGCTTCAGAATAATTTTTAAAAATCGTTTTGCAGTCCAGTGTTCTTGTCTAATCGTGTTTTGCATTGTTTTGTCATAGATTGCATTATCTTGGCACCCCTAAGATTTTCTGGTTTAAATTGTCTTTTTTTATCCTAATCTTTCATAGTCTTGTCTCCGACTGTCTTGTCTTATCTCGTCTAGCCTTGTCATGCCTTATCTTGACTATGATTGATTTGTCTTAAATTGTTATATCTTAAATTGTTTTGTCTTAGATAATTAAGTCTTAGATTGTTTTGCCTTAGATAATTTAGTTTTAGATTGTTTTATCTTAGATAATTTAGTCTTAGATTGTTTTGTCTTAGATTGTTTTGTCTTAGATTGTTTTGTCTTAACTTGTTTTATCACAGATTGTTTTATCTTAGATAATTTAGTCTTAGATAGTTTTATCTGAGATAGCTTTATCTTAGATTGTTTTTGTCTTAGATTGTTTTTGTCTTAGATTGGTTTGTCTAAGATTGTTTAGTCTTAGATTGTTTTTTCAAAGAGTGTTTTGTCTTCAATTGTCTCTGTCTTGCCTTGTTTTCCTTATCTTGCCTTATTTTAGACTCTATTATCTTTGCTCGCCTTCTTCTAATTGTACATATATGCAGTGAGTGTACACATGTGCGTATTTTGACGCCAAAAATATATTATATTTTCCAGTTTTGTCTTTAAGTATTTTTCAGTCTTGATTGTAATTCAATAAAATAATAATTATGATGTCCGTACATTTTTTTCCCTAAGCGTATATTCCTATTCCTGTCAATATGAATATTTATACACCCAAAACGAAGTATATAGGATAGGATGTATATAGGAGTCACCCGGTGGTCGGTCGGTTGGTCGGTCGGTCGGTCCAGCGGTCCGTTGAATTTTCCTTGTCAGGAGCATAAGTTGAAGACTAATGTTTATAATTCTATACAACTTCATACAGTGGTCAATCACATAGAGAGGAAGTGCAGTGCATAAGAACCATAACTCCATTTTGACTAATTACAGAGTTTTTGCCCTATGTTACTTTATATTGTCCAGAGCATAACTTGAAAATTACCGGTTGGAATTCAAACAACTTCGTTCAATTGTCAAGCACAATAAGGGGAAGTGCGGTGCACAAGAACCATAACTCTATCTAAAGTAATAACAGAGTTATTGCCCTTTGTTACTTTTCCATTGCTTTCTTTTGTTCGGAACATAACTTGTAGACTAATGTTTGGAATTCAATATAACTTCATACAAAGGTCAAGCACATTGAGAGGAATTGCAGTGCACAAGAACCATAACTCCATTTTGAGAAATTATTGTGTTATTGCCTTTGTTCATTTTCCTTGTTTCCTTGTTGTTTCCTTCTGGACTTATTACAGAGTAATTCAATAACACTTCATCAATGGTCAACCACATTGAAAGGAAATGCAACATACAAGAACCACAACTCTTTAATTACCCACAACCATAATTCTATTTCAATTCTTTTACAAGGCATTCTGTTACTAGTAACATCCTCATTTCCGAAGCAGTCTTGCGGGGGTATTAATCACATTTAGTGATAGTTTTAGTTTTTTCTAAAGTTATATTACAGATGTACTAGTATTATACAAATAGCAATATTAAGACATCTCAACATGTCAAGACATGATGCAAAATAATTGACAAAATATATGCAAACAGAGATCTTCCCAAGTTACACACTTTATTCACGTATATCAATATATTTTTGTAAAAGAATGATACTGTAAAATGGGGAGCCGTTCAACTTATGTTTAAGATGTCATCCTCTGAAACCAGAGATAAGAGGATCGAATTCTACAAGGGTCACGACCATGTTTCCTCGACAACAGCAACGGTTAATTATATGAAGCGGGCTCGAAAGGGTGTCCCATAGCAATCAAGTTACATGACATTTAAACCTGTAAATTCTTTGAAAGACTGTCAACACTCGTGTGATGAGTGATCACATGACTTCTTTTATATCCAATTAAATGAGTTTAAATACTTAATAAGAAAAAAGCAAATCAAAATCTCGAAAGAAAAAAATGGGCCGTTCAAAACGTTTCAAGAATTGCAATTTTACCATGAATAAAACAAAGTATTTTTAAATTATTTATTCTCACAATAAGTCTTGGTAAAAGGTCTGCATCTATATAGATAGCAGCCTTTAGCTACCTCATAAAAATTAAGTTGCAAAAGTTATGAAAAAAATATTTAAAAAAAAGAGAAAGAGAAGTTATTGAATGAGTGTAAGTTCAATGCTGAATTAATTGCACGAGCTGAATATTTTTTTTATTTTTCGAGCCTCTGGCAATATTCTATTTATCACATAACCAAAATGACGACTGTTTTAAAAGAATATTGTTTTCATTGAAGCGCCTATAGTGTTAACGTAGCATTTAGAGCGTTTTCACACTATGTTTGTATAACGCAAATGACGCCAGGTCAAAATATGTGTACCTCCGTGTATTACCATTTTTACGGACTCGCAAAAGCGTAACAACTATGTGATAAAATCAGTTATGAAATGTCAATAAACTTTTGTATAGCGTGAAAATGTTTTGGATTTCATTAACTCGTTTTATTTTAAAGTTACGTAGAACTCAATACTTCGCGAACTTTCAAGCAGCGTCTTTAAAAACGGCACCATATTTCAGATAAAATTCCGTTGATTTTATTCCAATAGTTTCAGTCATTTTCTGTAATTCAAAATTTTACACCGAAGCTCGTTTTAGAACATGACGCCGTTGCATATCCTTGGCAAAATATCTTAAATTCTATAGTATTCAACGGAAATTATTTTCTTCCTTTATGCTGATATAAAAGTTATCCTTTTACGTCAAAAATGTTTGAAAAATGGAACGAAAATTGACAAATTTGTATAAAGTTTGACGTTCAGTTTAACTACAATTTTCGGCGTAAAAGCGCATTATTAAAAATTTTTGAAATATTTCTTTTACTTTCCTTAAACGTCCTTTAAAATTTATACTCAGTCTAGATGACTAAACAAATTTCGGAACACGTGATTTTATATCCTCCCGATCCCTTTGCATAAAAGTCACGCTATCACAGGGTGTTTCTTTATTTGTCAGTGAAAAGAACGGCTTGTGTCAAAATTTCGCTATAAACGGAATCTTATTCCATTATGACTACTGCGGAAAACATATGGATGTACGGAAGTGTACATGATTCCGTATATTACAAACGGACGTATAAAATATGTGAAATTTAAAATACGGTACCGTATATCATGAAAAATGTATATGACTTATAGACCGTGCACTCGTAATATACAAGAACGTTATTGTACGAAGTCCGTATTTTTACGAAATTTCGTATTCTTGCAAATACGTATGCTGTATATAATCATAGAGGTTCAAAGATGTACTTGAGATTTATCATCTTTCTTTAGCAGGAAATAGTGTGATCTGAAATTTGTCAGAATAACACAAAATAGTAAAGCTTTAAGTAATATTTCCTGGTTTTATTAACATGTCAATATGACATACTGATTATATGGTCAGTGAACATAACATACAAAACATCGACAGATCCTAGACAATGTCCAAAGCATGTACAGAGAAAAAAAGGACAAAATATATTGAAATATCTATTTCATTATATAAAGATTATCAACACAAAACTCCTTTGTGCAGTATCCTAGCTCAAGACCACTTGGTTCGCTATATACGTTCTGCTAAACACCCGCTGACATGTTTTTACACCATTTCGGCATATTTTATTTTCAAAGAACCATTCTTTTAAATATTTTCCTGTTCAAAACCAATTCTTCCATAAATTTATTATACAGCGAATAATGGATAATTGCGATGACCAATTTTATAGTAGTTTAGTATACATGTACTGCGTTTATGATGAGTCCTGTAAATTCAAATTTAATGTTATTTTTATCATTATGATATTCTAAACTGAAAGCCAAAACCATAGAAAAAGTATAAAAGATGTTTATTACCTTGTGAAATCGAACGTGCTAACTCTGTAATCCAACGGCCACTGAGCAAATAAGCTTTAATTTGTCATTATTTCCCACAGTTATGTGGCATATACCCTGTCTAACTGCTGCAAAAGTTTATGCTTACATGTGATAATCTTGGTTTTAAAAGTTGAAATAATATCCTTATCACTCAAAGTATATATCACTGTTAGTGTGGGTAAAATAACTTTGCAGAACTTCTTGTAGCCTACGTATTAATTTATGATTCCGTAAATTTCTAAATTTAATTAAAATGTATTGTTCCTTTTTGCTCTTTATTGAACATTTCTCGATTCAAGTTTACTGTAATAAAAAACTAAAATTTACACTGCAATGATAACACTAAGTTGTAATTATTTTGTTTGCGCAAGGTACGCGTAGCTGTTGAACTTCTGACGTCATTTTCTTTATGATGAATTTTTGCTTGTTTGTTTTCCGTAATTTTATTTTATTCAACTTCACACACAGAAAGGCAATAATTAATTAGATTTAATTGCACTTTTACCTAGCCAATGAGTAAATTGGACAATTTTTCTTACGGTTTTTTCAAGTTTCACTCACTTCTGCCCCAGTATCCCGTTATATTGAAATGTACCTATACTCAGATTTACTAGCCTGCGTTCCAGTCTGTGCTTTTGCACGGCGAATTGACGATATATCTATCAGAAACGGTGATGTGCTTCTACGAAATAGCCCGTGATGAATAGGCAAAAAAACCAACGCCTTAATCCCAGGCTAAGATTTTAAATATGAATCTGATTTTATGCCCACGAAGGGAGGCATAATATAATCGCACCGTCTGTCCGTCTGTCCCGCTTTATTCGTGTCCGGACTGTAACTTTGTCATACATTAAGGGATTTTGAAATAACTAGGCACAAAAGTCTACCACATCAAGACAATGTGTCGCGTCCAAGAACCACGTCCCTACCTCAAAGGTCACGGTCACACTATCATTTTGAATGTTCACATTATCGCAATTAGAGTAAATAGGTACACACACTTGTGTCCGGACTGTAACTTTGTCGTGGATTGAATGATTTTAAAATAACTAAGCATAAATGTCTACAACATCAAGGCGATGTGTCGCGGCCAAAAATTACCTCTCTAACCTAAAAGTTAAGGTCACACCAATGTTTTGAAATTTCACATGATCTCAATAAGAATTTATTGGTACACACATTCATGTCTTGACTGTAACTTTGTCATGCATGGAAGGATTTTTAAAAAACTTGGCACAAATGTCTACTTAATCAAGAC